TACAAAGTGAGTATAATGATCTCCGTTTTATAGATGATGAGGCTCCACAAAGCAAAGCAATTCAGTCGCACAGCTTCTTATGAATAGGCTCACATTCAAACTCAAGACAATCTCCAAAGCTAACACTTTTTTCCATTGCACCATGGGCCTCTCTGTTCTGAAGCAGCCAGCTTAGTAAGTTTTCCAAGTACACACTCAGGCTGGCCAGGAAATGTGCTCTTCCACTAGCAGAGAACTCCAGCCCAGTGGACTGCTAAAGACTTTTTAAGGTCAATTAATACATTAGTTTCTCTGGTTTATCGATCAGCCTTCTATGAGTCCAGCTAATGTGAGTTAGTTCTTGAGGCCTGATGACTCCTGAGTGGTTGGATCAAGTCAGACTTTTGAATCAACCAAGAGAGCAGCCAGCCCAATATGTTATGACCTCTTAGACCTCTATCCGTGTTAATTCAACAGAAGGTGTCTTTGAAATCCAACTTCCCCACTTTTATAGATGAGTAAAGTGAGGCATGGAGTAGGACAGGGAGAAATTATTCAGAAAGTTACTGAAAGCTGGGTTTAGAAGCCAGAGAAACGGAGTTTCCCCAAGTATAGCATACATAGCATATGGGACACTCAAGTTGGGTCTAAGTGGTACATGAAATGTGTTCTCATTTTTCATATTATTGTTGTTAGCTGCTGTCCAGTCAGCCCCTAACTAATGTCAACCCCATGCACAATGAACCAAAACACTGCTTAGTCTTGTGCCATCTCCATGACAGGTTGTGAATCAGACCACTGTAATCCACAGGGTTTTTACTGGCTGATTTTTTAGGAAGTAGATCACCAGGCCTATCTTCCTAGTCTGTTTTAATCTGGAAGCTCTGCTGAACCCTGTTCAGCATCATAGCAACACACAGCCCTCCAGTGACAGATGGATGGTGGCTATGCATGAGGTGCACTGGCCAGGAATCGAACCTGGGTCTTCTGCATGGAAGGCAAGAATTCTACCTCTGAACCACCAATGTTTCATAGTTATTAGTTAGGTGAATGTGTATTAGAAATATACATGTATATACATGATGTATATATACAATGCTGATGCAATGGTTAAGTGCTTGGCTGCTAACCGAAAATTCTGTGGTTGGAGCCCACCCAGCTGCTCTGCAGCAGAAAAGACCTGCTGCTCCCATAAAGATTACAGCCTAGGAAACCCTATGGGGCAGTTCTACTCTGTCCTATGGGGTCACTATGAGTCAGAATCAACTCTGTGGCATACAACAACATATGTATGATGTATGTTTGTGTGTGTGTGTAGCATCAAACCCAAGATTCCAAAGATACTTTAGAATAATGCTAATCCAAAAAAAAAAAAAAAAAAAGAGGTGGGGGGTGATCTAAAAGAAAGTAAATAGGTCCCTGGGTACTGCAAACAGTTTGTGCTCAGCTGGTAATCGAAAGGTTGATGGTTCAAACCCACTCAGCGGCGCCATGGAAGAAAAGGCCTGGAATCTGCTTCCGTAAAGAGTACAGCCAAGAAAACCCTATGGAGCAGTTGTACTCTGTCACACACATGGTTGCCATGACCCAGAAACGACTCCAATGCACGTAACAACCACATCATTAAGTAACTAGTAGTACCAATCGTACCAAAAAAAAAAACTAAACCCACTGCCATCGTGTCAATTCTGACCCATAGCGACCCTACAGATACACAGATACGGTGAAAATCATGGAGGTAGACTGCAAATGACGTCTGGGAAACAGATCATGGTTAAGCATTCTGGCTCTGGAGTCAGACAGAGCTGCGTTCAAATCCGGCTGCAACTCACTGAGGTTCCAGAATCCTATCTGTGAAATGAGGGTAGTGGTAGAGACTGGCTCTGAGGACTGCCATATGCACACACATAGCAAACACAAAATGTTCCCATTTCTTTGCCTCCCAGGTCATTGTCCCGATGCTTCACTTTCCTGCAGCTGACAGTCACATTCACCAAAAGCACCCTTAGGGTTGGGCTCTAGCTGGTTGTCTTGTCTATGGCTGGATGTCCCCAGGAGGACTCTAGGCTGTTGGAGGTCAGAGATGTCTAAACGGTTCCATAAGGCCTAGTAGAAAGGTTCTGGAGTCAGATCTGGGGCTGAATCTTTGCTCTGCTCCTTATTTATTAGCTGCAAACGTTGGGCAAATTACTTAGCATCTCTGAGCTTCAGTTTTCTTTTCCATAACATCACAGATTTGTTGCGAGGACTAAAGGTGTAACTAGCAAATGTTGTTGTTAGCTGCCATCAAGTGGGCCCCCAACTCATGGTGACCCCATGTACAATGGGATCAGACTGTTACGATCTATAGGGCTTTCATTGGCTGAGTTTTGGAAGCAGATCACCAGGCCTTTCTTCCTAGTCCGCTTTAGTCTGGAATCTCTGATGAAACCAGTTCAGCATCATAGCCGGGAATCAGTCCTGGGTGTCCCGCATAGAAGGCGAGAATCCTACCACTGAACCACCAGTGTCTCTTAACTAGCAAACAGCATATCTCAATAAAATTGTTATATTTTTTCAAAAAGCACAGGTGGAGAGTTGAGCCCTCAAAAGGGAGACAGGCTGTCTTGGGGTGATGGAAATGTTCTAAATACTGATTGTGGTGGTGGTTATTGGAATACATACATTTGTCAAACCTCATCAAAATGTATGTAAATTGTTGTTGTTAGTTGCTGTCGAGTCAATTTTGACTCATGGCGACCCTGTGTGCACAGAGCAGAACTGTGCTCCATGAGGTTTTCAAGGGGGTGACCTTTGGGAAGCAGATCACCAGGCCTGTCTTCTGGCACACCTCTGAGTGGGTTCGAACCACCAACCTTTCAACTACTAGCTGAGAGCTTAACCGTTTGCGCCACCCAGGATTCCTTGAACATAAATTAATCCTCAATATACTTGATTGAAAGAAAACCAGCACCAGATGGACAGGACGGGAAGACACTACCAAGTAGACAGTGGCAAGGCATCAAGGCTACTCTCTAGTCTCCAAGATAAATAACCCTGAGGGGACGTGAACCGCCCACCTCCACTCACCCACGAGTCCCCCAGCAGCCCTCCACTTGGTTTTCCCAGCCACTCTGGAACCCCTATCATTCCTTCCCAGGCCTGCTCCTCCCGACCCAACCTGCTCCCCAGGCCAGCTGCCAACTCTAATCTCCATCTCCTCTGGCCGCCATCTCCCTGTAATTAGGGCCAGGAGGTATGGGCAAGTTGCCATCAGTCGGTGCACCTGCTGCTTTCTTACAGATAACCCTGGCAGGGGCAGGAGAGCCCCCAGGGTGGAGCGAGTGCTGTCCAGAGCATAGCTCAAAACCTCCCCTCAGCCACCTCCCCCGATCTGCACCCTCAAGGCATTGGTTTTCTCCCACAGCCAAGGCAGGTCCCCGCAGGAAGCCAACATGAGGAGCCGGGAGACGCCATGAAGGACACCAACATTTAGTAAACACTGTGGATGCTCACAAAACTCCCATAAGGTAGAGACTACTCCCATTTTTCAAACCAAGAAACTGAAGCTCAATGTTTAAGGGAGTCATCAACATCACTTAGTTGGTAAAAGCAGTGGAAGCTGGGATTTGTATCCAAGCTCGCTTTTCTCCCAAGATTTTTCCAAAGCATGGAGGTTGCAGGAAGGGGGTCGGGGGAGGGCAGGAACAAACTCCACATCCCTCCAGCTCCTTAGGCTGACTTTGTCAGCACAGCCCTGCCTGTCCCAGAAACAGAAGACACCCATCAGAATAACCAAGCCTCAAATCCCAGACACCAGGAGGGGTGACTCCCTTCCTCCAGGGTACCTACAGTACCCCCCCACCCCAAGGAATGCTAGATTTCCTGCTCCCTGGTTCCTGACCACTCACACAAAGCCAGGGTGATTGAAAGGGTAAATAGGGACCTTCCAGAAACACCAGAAATCCCTGGGTGATGCAAACAGTTAAGCTCCACTACTAACCAAAGGAGCCCTGGTGGTGCAGTGGTTAAGAGCTCAGTTGCTAACCAAAAGGTTCGCAGTTCGAATCCACCAGCCATTCCTTGGAAACCCTATGGGGCGGTTCTACTCTGTCCTATAGGGTCACTATGAGTCAGAATCAACTCTACGGCAACGGATTTACTAGCCACAAGGTTGGCGGTTTAAACCCACCCAGAGACACCTTGGAAGACAGGCCTGGTGAACTGCTTTGAAAAGATAACAGCCATGAAAACCCTATGGGGCAGTTGTACTCTGCACACGTGGGGTCACCATGAGTCAGAATCCATTCGATGACAACTAACAACCACAAATGCCCTGCCTAAAGGAGACAAGGCTATTAACTTTGTGCCAATGGATCTAAAGACCTGGGGGGTTACAGATCCTGAAAAAAGAAACAGCGTGGGGCCTCTACATTCCAACTCCACTTTATAAGGCTTTCCTTCGTCTTAGCCTTAAAAAACGAGTTGCCTTCGAGCTGACTCTGACTCTTGGTCACCCCATGTGTGTCAGAGTAGAACTGTGCTCCATGGGGTTTTCAGTGGCTGATTTTTCACAATTAGATCACTAGTCCTTTCTTCCAAGGTACCTCTGGGTAGACTGGAACCTCCAACCTTATTAATCGTTTCTACAACCCAGGTACTCCTATTCAATCTTACAACAACCCTATTAAGAAAACCCTAACCACACTGAGCACCACTTCTCCTTTCAGGAGTCTCCACTCTGCACTAGACCACAGAGGCTCAGGACTCTGCCGTTTAGTCCTTGGACCTGGGTGCTCAGCATCGTGCTGGCACTCAGCACCCACTGGATCTGATGAACAAGGTAGACTAGGCAGAATGCCACCTATTATTCTCCAGATGAAGTTTGAAGAGCTCAGGACGAGAGGCCATCCAACTCCCAGCCCGGTGCTCTAACCCGAGTAGCCCTGCTTTCTGTTCCCTAGACCACCTGTCCCTTTCGGTTTCCACCTTCCCCCTCTGCTGCCCCTCCCCCAGCCCTCCTGGCCCCTTCTCCGGCATACCTGTGCACAGGCTGGAATAGAAGCCCTCCTGTTTGAGCATGATGAGCAAGGAGCCCCAGCCCAGGAGCACGGCAGAGAAGAAAAGGTTCTCCAGCACGGCAGTGCAGGCCATCCACCAGCGCCTCTGGTACGCCTGCTGCAGCGTGGGGGCCATGCTGGCCGCGAGCCTGCACAGGAACAGAACGCTGAGTGAAGGGCCCACCAGCGGCCCCAGAGAAGCGTCCTGCATCATGGTGGCGCCTGGGTCCCCTCGGGCTAGCCCTCGAGGGGGCTTCATGAAGGTCCCATAGACCCCTGAGCTTCCCAGTGGGTACTGCCGAGCCGGCTCCGGGCGCACTGGCTGTGCCAGGGGCGCACGCGGCGCTGGGCTCCCGCCGGGCCACTATCGGAAACAAGGAAGGTCCTGCCTGCGCGGAGCAGCTTCCTGGCGCGCTGCCGGCCTCTCCCACCCAGGCCAGGGGGCGGGAAGCCAGGCTCCCGGGGGCCAGACCCGCACTTTCCCAAGTCCCCAAAGTTCAGCAAGGGGCAGAGCACGCGCTGAGACCACCGCTGGCCGGTGTCCGGCCTCCTGCGCCAGGAAAGACCCCCGAAGCAGATCGGAGGAGGAAGGGGAAGTCTGAAGCTAGCCTAAGAGCCCCCCTTTCCTGTTGCCCCTCTAAGACCACTCCTTCACTCTGGGGTCGGGCAAGCGCAAGCCCTCCCCTTTCACAGCAGGCGACCCATGTCCCTACAGTCTCTCCGGCCAAGCCAGCAGCTGCCACGTGGAAGAGACTCAGGGCTGGTTCGCCGGCGGCCCCGCCGCCACCCTGCACCCCCTCACTCACAAGGCAGGACCTGGGGCAGCGCGAGGCGCGCCTCGGCCCCCCGCCCCTCCGGCCTGGGGAGGGGGCTCGGGCAGGAAGTCCGGCGGCAGCTGACTTTATAAGGGCAGTGGCGGCGGACGGGCTGGATGGCGGACGGGCGGGCGGGTGTGTTTACCAGAGGGAGTGAAGGAGCTCGAGCTCCCCCACGCCGCGGCCGCAGCCGCCATCGCAGGAGGGGACAGAACGCAGGCGGCGCCGGGGCGGGGAGGGGACCGGGGAAGCAAGGATAGGCGAGAGGGTGAGACCCAGGAAAGCGAAGGGGTGAAGGACAGGGAACGGCGGGAGTGCGAGACCAGAGGGAGGGGAGGAGAACCCGAGCCACTTCCCCCTGGGGGCCTCAGTTCACCCATCAGTGAAATGGGGCTTTAGCTTCTGACTCTCCCGGAGGTCCGTTCCAACTCTGACAAGAGAAGAGGAAGTGAAGCAAGAAGGGGTGCGAGAGGAAGAGGAGAGTCGGAGGGGCCTGGGGAAATGAGAGGAAGGGACACGCTCGCGGAGGTGGCGCGCTTGGAGAGACGGGACAATGTGCCGCGGGACCACGGGCTCAGGTAACGGGCGTTCCTTGGGGAGCGTGGAAGTGTCGGAGGGAGCCCGCCCAGATGGCTAAGCGGACGCTCAGCCCAGAGTCCTACCCCCACCCGCTTCTCACCTCCGAGCGGGGGCGAACGCGCCTCCTGCAGCCTCGGGTGCCTCAGGGAGCGCAGCGCCTGGGTGGCGCGTCCACACGCCAGGCGTCCGGGCTCCCGCCGGCCCGGCCTTAAGCTGCACCGGCGCTGGTGGCTTCTCTGCGCTTCAGCCGGACAGCCCGGTGTTCTTGCCTCCTCTGCCCCCTCAGAAGAAGCTGGGGAGCTGGGAACCCGCCGGGCGCCAACGATCCGAGAAGGGGAGCATGGACCAAGAGGATCCTCGGCGTGGATAGTTGTATTAACACCCGTCCGGGGCTGCGCCCCGAGGTGGGGGCGGGGGCTACCTTCCCTTCCCCTCCCCCCAGGTCGAGTTTCACGCCCACGTGACTTTCCTGCTGGTCCTTAGATACTCGCCCCGGCACATGCCCCTTCACTCACAATTTTCTCCTCGCCACCCACCCACCATAGGGTCGCTATGAGTCGGAATCGACTCGATGGCACCTAACAACAGCAACACCACCACCCACCCCCACGTTCTCCTTTGCCCCATCGGCGAGTGTTAAGCTGCGCCCTCTGCAACTTTGGTCAAAACAAAGGACTCGGCTGAAGCCGACCGACGGAGATGCAGGGCTGGCTAGGGAGGGGTTTTGAACTGTGCAGTTGGGTATTGTGTTTCCCAAGAAGTTGAAAGACACGGGCTTCTTTGGAGTTACTCAGATGCACCTCTCTACTTTGAAACTGGACAAGTTACTTAACCTGTCTGAGCCTCAGTTTCCTCCCCTAGAATTCGGGTGCCTACCTCAAAGGGTTGCAGGGAGGAATTAGAGGCTATGATGCAGGTAAAATGCTGAGCACAATTTCTTCTCTATCTTATTAATCTTTCTTGAAAGTAAAAATATCTGTGTATGTGTGACTTTTTCTTAGCCTGAAGAATATTATTTTGAAATAGTAAATAGTGATGGCATTGTTTTGCCAAACAGGTATGCATTCTTCTAGCCTGTTTGGTCTAATACTTTATTTATGTTAAATGTAGTTGACAGACTACAGCCTTCGGACCAAATCTGGCTCACTGCCTGTTTTTTCAAATAAAGTTTTACTGGAACACACACAAATGCTGAGCACAGCACTTGGTACCTACAAAAAACCAAACCCACTGCCACTGAGTCGATTCCAACTCATAGTGACCCTATAGGACAGAGTAGAACTGCCCAACAGCGTTTCCAAGACTGTAATCTTTACGGAAGCAGACTGCCACATCTTTCTCCCTCGGAGAGGCTGGTGGGTTTGAAATGCCGAACTTTCCATTAGCAGCCCAGCGCTTTAACCACTGCACCACCAGGGCTTAGTTGGTACATAGTAAGCATAATAAATGTTAATTATTGTTGTTGTTCCTGCTGCCATGATTATTATTTGAGAAGATCTGGTGATCAGAGGCTTTCTGACACTTAGTGATTGATCCCAGTAAACTTCTCAAACTTCCTAAGCCTCAGTTTCCTCATCTATAAAATAGAGGTGGGGTGTCACTACTTGAAGGAGTCCCTGGGTAGCGCAAACAGTTAAGTTCTTGGCTACTAACCAAAAGGTGATGATTCAAACCCACCCAAAGGTGCCTTGAAAGAAAGGCCTGGCAATCTGCTTCCGAAAGGCCACAGCAATTGAAAACCCTGTGGAGTACACATGGGATCACCATGAGTTGGAATCGACTCAGCCACAACTGGTTTGGTCACTACTTGGGACTGTTGGCGGGGATTAAAGAGATGACTATAGTAAAAGCAAATACAAGTGCGAGTTTGATACAGTGTGTTGAGGGCAACACCGGTGTCATGGATTGAATTATGTCCCCCCAAAAATGTGTGTATCAATTTGGCTGGGCCATGATTCCTGGTATTGTGTGATTTTCCTATATGTTGTAAATCCTGCCTCTATCATGTTAATAAGGGAGGATGGGTGGCAGTTGTGTTAGTAAGGCCAGACTCAGTCTACAAGATTGGATTGTGTCCTGAGGCAATCTCCTGAGATATAAAAGAGAGAAGTGAGCAGAGAGACAGGGGGACCTCACACCACCAAGAAAGCAGTGCCAGGAGCAGAGCGCGTCCTTTGGACCCAAGGTCCTCGCGCAAAGAAGTTCCTAGTCCGGGGGAACACTGATGAGAAGGCCGACAGAGAGAGAAAGGCTTTCCCTGGAGCTGACACCCTGAATTTGGACTTTTAGCCTACTTCACTGTGAAGAAATAAATTTCTCTTTGTTAAAGCCATCCACTTGTTGTATTTCTGTTAGAGCAGCACTAGATGACTAAGACAGAATTTGGTACCAAGAGAGTGGGGTGCTGCTCTAACAGAGACCTAAAATGTGGAAGCAGTTTTGAAAATGTGAACGGATAGAGGAGCGGCAGTGGCAGAGAACCAACAGCAGCAGAACCAGGAGACCACAGCGAGATGGCGGTGGAGCCGAACCACTAAGTGAGAGAGCCGAGCTGCCTCAGTCTCAAAAGGTATGGCCTTGAACTCAGAGATTTCAAAGGGTGGAGCCATGGCCTCTGGTGTTTCTAAGGGTGGAGTTGTCTCTGATGGACTAGGAGAATCGTGTGCCTGCATCCAAGGGAGCAGAGTTGCCCTCCCACTGGGCCTGGAAGGTGGAGCTGAAGCCCAGGGCGGGGGCAGGGGGGGCCTCCACTCAGAATCTGGAGAGTGTGGTCAATTCCTAGAGTCTGGAGGGCAGGGCCACTGTGTAAATTGTCTCAGAGAACAAAGATTTATTTTCAAAGCCTTGAGGGCTAATGTAATGTGTTCTGCTGACTTACTTGGTGACTGTTATCTCTTCTTTCCCTCCAGTTTCTCCCATTTGTAACGGAAATGTCTAGCTTGTGCCTGTTCTGCCATTGTATCTTTGGGAACAAATAACTTGTATTCTAGATTTCACAGATGAAGAGGAATTTTTGGATTTTGGACTTAGAGTTAAGACTTTGGCTGTAATATGATGGGGTGAATATGTTTTCCATGTTGCAAGGATGTGATTTTTTGGGGGCCAAAGGGTGGAATGTCATGGATTGAGTTATGTCCCCCAAAAAATGTGCGTATCTGTTTGGCTGGGCCATGATTCCTGGTATTGTGTGATTTTCCTGTATGTTGTAAATCCTGCCTCTATCATGTTAATAAGGGAGGATGGGTGGCAGTTGTGTTAGTAAGGCCAGACTCAGTCTACAAGATTGGATTGTGTCCTGAGGCAATCTCCTGAGATATAAAAGAGAGAAGTGAGCAGAGAGACAGGGGGACCTCACACCACCAAGAAAGCAGTGCCAGGAGCAGAGCGCGTCCTTTGGACCCAAGGTCCTCGCGCGAAGAAGTTCCTAGTCCGGGGGAACATTGATGAGAAGGCTGACAGAGAAAGGCTTTTCCTGGAGCTGACGCCCTGAATTTGGACTTTTAGCCTACTTTGCTGTGAAGAAATAAATTTCTCCTTGTTAAAGCCATCCACTCGTGGTATTTCCTTTATAGCAGCACTAGATGACTAAGAGAACCAGTGATACCCACAAAGCTCTGGGGGAGTGCGAGCAACCACCCAGGAAGCTCCAAGAAAGCCTCAGAGAAGAGGGGAGCCCTGACCAGCTGAGCCAAGAGAGGAACTAATATTTGCTGAGTAGCTACTATATGCTGGGCAATTTCCCAAAAAAATGTTTCTTTAAATCCTCAGAAACATCATGGTCTCATTTAAACCTCACAACTTTTCACAGAGGGAGAATGCTGGCGGCTTGCAGCTAGAAAACAGTGGGTGGAGGCAGGAAGCAAAGTTGGGTCTATCTAGCTTTTAAGTCTAACTCTTTCCATTCCTCCAGGCAAGGGGAACGGCATGAACAAAGGCATGAAAAGTTCTCTCTGGCGGGAGCACAGGGTGTCAGGCTCTGGTGCATTGCTGACTTCCAGAACTCCCAGATCAAGGTAAAACTGCTTAGCTCAGCACAAAGGGCCTTAGAGCAGGCGTTCTAACCCTAGAGGATCGTGGATCCCTTTGGGAATGCAATGAAATGTTGTGAAGCTAAACCAAACCAGTTGCCATCCAGTCAACTCCAACTCATGGCAACCTCACGTGTGTCGAGTAGAACTATGCTCCACAGAGCTTTCAGTGGCTGATTTTCAGAAGTAAATCATCAGGCCTTTCTGCCAAGGTGCCTCCGCATGGACTCGAGGCTCTAACCTTTCAGTCAGTAGTCCAGTGCATTAACCCTTTGCACCACCCAGGGACTCCCTTATGAAGCTAAACCAAAAAAAAACAAATTTGTTGCCAATGAGTTGATTCTGACTCACGGCGATCCCATTTGTGTCAGAGTAGAACTGCATCCCATCGGGTTTTTAAGGCTGTGACCTTTCTGAAGCAGATCACTAGGACTTTCTTCTGAGGCATCTCTGGGTAGGTTTGAACTGCCAACCTTTCAGTGAGTAGTTAAGCTCATTAACCCCAGAGACTCCCTTATGAAGCTATTCTTGTTGTTAGGTGCTGTGATCATTAAGATTGTGTGTCAACTTGGCTGGGCCATGATTCTCAGTGGTTTGGCAGTTATGATGTAGTTTGGCAGTCGTATTATGATGTGATCACCTCCATGATGAGATCTGATGTAATGTGATCACCTCCATGATGGGATCTCCTGTGAGTAGCCAATCAGTTGAAAGGGAGTTTCCTTGGGGGTATAGCCTGCATCCAATATAGATGGACTTTCTGATAAGGCTCACAGGCTTTTGCTCACTCTGGATCCTGCAGCTGGTCCTGTTCATCTGACCTCCGGTTCTTGGGACTTGAGCTAGCAGCTGACCTGCCAATCCTGGGTTCGCCAGCCCCTGAAGCTGCCTGAGTCAGGAGAAGCCTCCACCCTGACCCACAGACTTGTGACTTTCCAGCCTCTACAGCCACATGAGCCAGTTCCTTGATATAAATCTCTCTCTCTCTGTATATATATAGATATGTATATATAGACGCTTCACTGGTTTTGCTTCTCTAGAGAACCCACCCTAAGACAAATACTATAGACAGAGTTCCTACCACTAACGAGTTTAATGTCCCCTTAAAGTTAAAAGTCAAAACATTGAACATGGTGTGTAGGAAAGAAAACATTTTTTCATTAACTGGATGAGGTGGTGGAGCCAGGAACATGGAAAAGAGAGATATTGGATTATATTCAGTATCATAGAGATATTGATTGATAAAATAATACCCTTAGATCATTGTGCCAAGTCAAAATTCAGAATAATTCAAAGGATTTGTCCAGTTAAGATGAAACACGCGGATACTCACAAGCATCCCCTCTGCTGACCTGGAACTTAACTTTAAGAACATGTCTCAGCTCTGCATTTTAGGACCTGCCATGTTTTCCCAACAGAGTAAGTTCTCCATGTTTTGAGTAGATGAAAGGATGAGTGAATATTATGACCGTTACATTTTCAGTATTCATCATGAGACCACCACCCATTTATCAGTTTATCATACTGTGGTGGCTTGTATGGTGTTATAATTCTGGAAGCTATACCACCACTATTCTAACACCAGCAGGGCTACCCACGGTGAACGGCTTTCAGTGGACCTTCCAGATTAAGACAGACTAGGAAGAAAGATCTGGCAATCTACTTCCAAAAATTAGCCAACGAGAACCCTATGGATCACAACAGGACACTGTCTGACTCACATGCTTTGGGCAAGTATCAAGAGGGATCTCATGCCACCAAGAAAGCAGCACCAGGAGCAGAGTGTGTCCCTTGGACAGGGGATCCCTGCACTGAGAAGCTTCTAGACCAGTGGAAGATTGCTGACGAGCACCTTCCCCCAGAACCTACAGAAAGAGAAAGCATTTGCTGAGAGCTGGCACCCTGAATTCAGACTTCTAGCATCCTAGACTGTGAGAGAATAAATTCTGTTCGTTAAATCCATCCACTTGTGGTATTTCCGTTACAGCAACACTAGGTGCCATCTAGTCAGTCCCACTCATAGTGACCCTACGTACAACAGAACAAGACATTGCCCAGTCTTGTGCCATCCTCACAATCATTGCTATGTTTGAGCCCACTGTTGCAGTCACTGTGTCAATCCATATCGTCAAGGGTCTTCCTCTCTTTCACTGACCCTCTACCTTACCAAGCGTGATGTCCTTCTCTAGGGACTGATCCCTCCTGATAACATGTCCAAAGTATGTGAGACAAAGTCTCGCCATCCTTGCTTCCAAGGAGCAGTCTATCTGTACTTCTTCCAAGACAGACCTGTTTGTTCTTCTTGCAGTTCATGGTATATACACTATTCCTTGCAAACATCATAATTCAAATGCATCAACCATTCTTCAGTTTTCGTTATTGTCCAGCTTTCGCATGAATACAAGGCGATTGAAAATATCATGCCTTGGATAAGGTACATCTTAGTCCTCAAAGTGACATCTTTGCTTTTCAACCTTTAAAGACATCTTTTGCAGCAGATTTGCCCAACCCAATACATCGTTTGATTTCTTGACTGCTGTTTCCATGGTGTTAATTGTGAATGTTCCATGTGCACTGGAAAAGAAAGTATACCTTGGCTGCTGTTGGGTGGAGTCTTCGGTATATGTCTATGAGATCAAGTTGGTTGATTGTAGCATTTAGATCTCCGTGTCTTTGTTGAGCTTCTTTCTGGATGTTCTATCCTTCACTGAAAGTGGTGTGTTGAAGTCTCCTACTACTATTGTGGAGCTGTCTCTCTCTCTTTTCAGTGCTGTTAGAGTTTGTTTTATGTATTTTGGAGCCCTGTCATTGGGTGCATAAATATTTATTATAGTTATGGCCTCCTGGCGTATTGACCCTTTAATCATTATATAGTGTCCTTCCTTACCCTTTGTGGTGGATTTTACTTTAAAGTCTATTTTGTCAGAGATTAATATTGCCACTCCTGCTGTCCTTTGAGTGTTGTTTGCTTGATATTTTTTTTTCCATCCTTTGAGTTTTTGTTTGTTTGTGTCTTTAAGTCTAAGGTGTGTCTCTTGTAGGCAGAATATAGACAGATCGTGTTTTTTATCCAGTCTGCCACTCTCTGTTTATTGGTGCATTTTGTCCATTTACATTCAGCATAATTATTGATAGGTATGAGTTTAGTGCTGTCATTTTGATGTCTTTTTTTGTGTATTGTTGACAGTTTCTTTGTTCCATGTAATTTTCTGTGCTGAGTCCATTTTTCTTTATGTATTTTTTTTCATCTTTTTCATTGTTGATTTTGTGTTTGCTGAGTCTTTGTATTTTTCTAGTTTTTTATTTTGACTTGTAGGATTGTTAGTTTCCTTTATGGTTACCTTAATATTTACCCCTGTTTTTCTAAGTTTAAACCAGTCTTTTATTTCTTTATATCACCTTGACTTCCTCCCCATATGAAAAATCTTATGTCTGCATTTTTTAGTCCCTCTTTTTTGTTTTAATGTTGTCATCTTTTACATATTGACATCTGTTTCCCTATTTTGTTTTAGCTTTGATTTATTTTTGTGACTTCCCTATTTGGGTTGATATCTGGTTGGTCTATCCTCTGTTCTAGTCTTGGGTCGTTATCTGATGTTATTGATTTTCTAACCGAAGGACTCCCTTTAGTATTTCTCGTAATTTTGGTTTGGTGTTTGAAAATTCCCTAAACTTCTGTTTATCTGGAAATGCCCTAATTTCCCCATCATATTTGAGGGTATATACCCTGTTGTACTGCGGTAATGAGGGCCTACGCTGTTGAAATGGGCCCACACAAGTCTACGCAGAGGGAAAGGCACTCAAAGTTCATGGATCCCTTATGCCTGTGCCTAGGCAAAGTTGCTGTGCCCACCCTGGGTTCCTGGCTTAGGGGAGCTGGCAGTTTATTTTTTCCCCCGTTTGTTAATTTGTTCACCCTCTAAGGCCAGGAGAATGGCTCAGGGTGTGTGACAGATCCTACTTCTGGCCCAGGGGACTCGGCAATTGCTGAAGCCTGTCCAGGACCCAGTGCAGAGCAGGGAGCAGGGAGGTAAATGGGAGAGAGTTTTTTCCCTAAGGCGGGTGTTTTTGATCCAAGTGGTAAACCGGACGCAAGTACTTATCTTTTGGCGAACGAGGGTTGCTTCTCACTGGTTCTGGGTGGCTGAGTAGACTGTCTGCCACTGGGTCTCTGCCAGTGTGGAAAACACACCTCCCGAGCACTGCTCCTTGCCTGCCTCACCGCTCACCCATGAGCTGATCAGGCCTGAAGGGCTCAGGCACTCACCGGGTCAGGTCTGGCAACTCCTTGCTGCTTCTGAACCATCTCTCCCTCCCCCTGCCACTCAGTCCGGTTCCTCACCTTTGCCTTTGATGTTCAGGGCTCCTAGATTGTCATATATAATTGATTCACTTGATTCACTTGTTTTTTCGGGTCTTTTTTGTAAGAGGGGCCACCGGAAGCATCTGACTACTCTGCCATCTTGGCCCCGCCTCCCCTCCATGGTGTTAATTGTGGATTCAAGTAAAATTAAATCATTGACAACTTCAATCTTTTCTCCATTTATCGTGATGTTGCTTATTGGTCCAGTTTTGAGGATTTTTGTTTACTTTATGTTGAGTTGTAATCCATAATGAAGGCTGTGGTCTTTGGTCTTCATCAATAAGTGCTTCAACTCCTCTTCACTTTCAGCAAGCAAGGTTGTGTCATCTGCATAATACAGGTTGTTAATGAGTCTTCCTCCAATCCTGATACCCCGTTCTTCTTCATATAGTCCACCGTCCTGATTATTTGTTCAGCATACAGAATAAGTATGAATATGTATTAAATAAGTATGGTGAAAGGATACAACCCTGACACACACCTTTCCTGATTTTAAACTATGCACTATTCCCTTGTTCTGTCTGAAAGACTGCCTCTTGATATGTGTACAAGTTCTTCATGAGCACAATTAAGTGTTCTGGAATTCCCAGTCTTTGCAGTGTTATCCATAATTTGTAATGGT